GTGAGCAAATCCACGGAGAAGAAGGAGAAGACGAATCAGGGGAATGATATTTAATACGCGGACTGGCTAGATGAGATGCTAATGGTAAACACGTAACGTGGATGTAACTTGGGAAGGGAGGAACGGCGTTGCCATGAGGACGGAACACGACACCGCGGCGCTCTGTTGCCATGATGACGTAACTTTACGTCTTTGCGTCACACCGGTCGGGGGTAACGAGGGTGTAGGTGGAAAGAGGAGGGAGTGGTTTAGGCGTACCGAACACCAGCGGCGCGCTTCTAGGGCAGGGATGCGTTACGTAATGAACATCAAGATCCCCGCGTATCGATCCTTCATTTTGCCCGCGACGGAGAAAGAATCGCGTGAGTTTTGCGTGTGTCGCGAACTCGTCGCACAGTAGGGTATTTGGACGATCTGGCTGGCCGAAATTATTTCTGGTTATTTCATCGATTTACAAATACGTCTACCTACTAAATAACGATCTCCTGCAACCACTTGCGCTGAAATTGATTCACCGATAAGCGTGACCAAGACCCATCCACGGTAATTCGAAACGAGCTGTAATTTGAAATCACGAGACGCACGGTATAGTTTCGCGCCAAAAGATAATTTTAAGATGATTATAAATTTGTTTAATGTCATTTTGTATAGAACGATTAACTTTAAACTTTTGTAAGATTTGTTTAATTGGAATAAAAACGATTGTTAGGAGTGATTGTAAGTCAATTGTATAATATCTATTCTTCGACCACGATCCACTTCCACTTTATTGCATAGGCATCGTTCTTCAGGTTCAAGAGCGCCCTCGATCAAGTGAAATTCTAAGAAATTCTAACTCGACTGTAATTCACGGATTGGCGAGCACGAATTTGTTTCTTTCGCGAGAAAATTGCTTGTAAATCGTCGCTGGTAACGAAAGCAAGGCAGTTTCGCAGGGCGTCGTCGTAAAACCGCAAAGGGCACGTCGTGGGTGGTGAAACATGTAGCTGGAAAATAGAGTTGCTCTCCGGCGATAGTTGACAAATAACGATAGCCCTCGAGTCACGGTTTTTATTAACATCGTGGACAGTTAACGTTAACGGGTCGAACCAAACAGAAAAATAAAATCTAAACATGTTTTAACCCCCGGTGCAATATCTTCTCAGTCTGATTAATGAAATAAAACTCATCGCTCTCAACTTCGTCATCTTAATAGTGACGTTTATCTTAATGGTAAATAATTTTGAAAAATATGTTAATTTTTATATATTCAACTGCATGTGAAATGGAGAAAATTGATTACTGAATTCCACCTCTATCGAATATTGAAGGAGTTGAGAGTTAATTTGCTAGAGTCTACTAGCATCAACAATTCAAACGAGACATGTTTGAAGGAAAGTTTGACGAAGCATATCGACGCGAGGCATATACAGGGTATCCCGTAACTAGTGTAAGAACCGGAAATGGGGGGTAGCTGAGACAATTTTGAACAACAATTTCCTTTGCAAAAATGTCGGATGGGGCTTCGTTTTTGAATTATTAACGAAAAACACTGACCAATCAAGGCGCGCGTTTACCGTGCGCTCAGGGCCGTCCGAACTCGGAGAGCCCACGCGTCGGGTAGATAGCAAGATGTGCATTGAAGATACGTCGAGGAACGAATACAAATAATTAAAAATACTACCACTGCAACTTTTACCTAATTCGTTAATTACTACGTAATTAGTGCGTAATTTACTAAATCGAATTTATTAATTATTTGTATTCGCTGTTTCCGAGGAAAAAGGAATAAAATCTCGGGATTTGTAGGAAATTAACCCTTCGCACCCGAGTGACGCTTCTCGCCAGAGTGTTTTAAAATTAAAATAAGAATTATATTCAGAAAATTAAATTTGTTATTGAAAACTGCACTGAAAAAGCAGACTGGATTTCTGCGTGCCGAAATATTCCTCAAATACAAAGGGTTAATAGAGAAATAATTGAAACTCGATTTATCTGCTGCGCTGACAATTCGACCTTGCCGCAATCGATAGCGGTGTACTGTCCGGGTCCTATTGTCAGCGCAGCAGGTAAATCGAATTTCAATTATTCCTTTTTCCTCGGAAACAGCGAATACAAATAATTAATAAATTCAATTTAGTAATTTACGTACTAATTACGTAGTAATTGACGAATTAAGTAACAGTTGCAGTGGTAGTATTTTTAATTATTTGTATTCGATCCTCGACGTATCTTCAATGCACATCTTGCTACCTACCCGACGCGTGGGCTCTCCAAGTTCGGACGGCCTTGAGTGCGCGGTAGGCACGCGCCATGATTGGTCAGTGATTTTCGTTAATAATTCAAAAACGAAGCCCCATCCGACATTTTTGCAAAGGAAATTGTTGTTCAGAATCGTCTCAGCTACCCCCCATTTCCGGTTCTCACACTAGTTACGGGACATCCTGTATAATTCAACGAACAAATAAAATATGAATAAATGTTACGAATGATCTAATTTGGGGACTAAAAATTAACTTATTAGAGTCTACTAGAATTAACAATTTAAACGAGGCATGTTTGAAGGAAAGTTTAACGAAGCATATCGACACGAGGCATATATTATTCAACGAACAAATAAAATATGAATAAATGTTACGAATGATTTGATTTGGGGACCGAAAATTAATTCACTAGAGCCTACTATTATTAACAATTCAAACGAGACATGTTTGAAGGAAAGTTTGACGAAGTATATCAACGCAAGGCGGCAAGTATTATACAATTCGGTTGTCAAGCAGTCGATGAACGTCGTCTTTATGCATCGGGTATCAACGGTAGGACGAAATAATTAGCTCGCATGAAGATCTCAAACGCAAGGCCGATCGGAAGTACGCGAGCCAGGAGCAAACGAAGGGATCGAGCCAGGATATTCACGTGGGGAGCACTTAACTCGACTGCCGCGGTTAATTGTTAGACGACTTAACGAGGCGTCGGGACACGAGCACGCACTCGTCTGTATCAATATTTGTGTAGGTGGAAGCATCCACCGCGAGAGCTGATCGCTCCTAAAGGCGGCATTATTTGCGGTCGTAAAGTCAATCGACACGTTTGTACGCGCGACGTCGACGTGAACGTAGACGTCAACCTGGCAGAAGTGTGCAACGAGCGATCGAAATTGTGACCTATCGAGCCTTTTTTTATATTTTCGATCGAACGCAAATTTTGAAGAAATTATAATTATTTATAATTAATATAAAATATGTTTCGAAAAGTGACTATCTTTGTTGAGATTAAAATTAACTGTATTTTTTTTAAATAGTCTATAAATAAAACATGGAAACACTCTTGACAATTTGTATGCTGTGTCTTTGAGATGAACAAATGGCACATTGCACAATTTTATTTTTAATAAAATTTCTCTCTATCTAATGCGCTCCTGATGCAATTCTGAAAAACCATCAGGATAATTTGAGAAAGGTATAAAGTATTTAATTACTGTTTTCGCTTGAAGGCGGGTAAGTATGTAGGTACTTTAATCTCGAACTGAAGCTCAAGAGAAAAATAAATGAAATAGAGAGAGCGATGAGCAAAATAGACACACAATTATCTTTCATTGATATGCCAATCCCTTGCCGAGATACAAAATAATTTAAACTTATTATCGACAATGGACGAATTGAAAAAGAATAATAATAAAAATATAATTTAAAAGAAATAAAAGAAAATTAAAAAAAAAATAAAAGTCCAAAAATGTTTGATGAAAATATTCGTTACTATCGTCGAAACGCAAGGTTCGTTCGTTTGGTTGAACTACGCACAACTCGGTACTGTCCTTTGCCTTCGAGTATGCAAATGTCTTCCCGTCGGTGACAACGGTCCAAACAGTACGGATTTTTGGAACACACGCAGGTTCAAGGATACACGCGATCGGGCGACTTCCGTTTGGTACACGAGGATCCAAGGTTCGACCGTTTCCCGTGGCATGCATTGCTCTTTAAATCCCGTTACAAAGAAGACATTATGGCCAGCGCGCGCAAGAATGTAGAAATACTTTCTCTCGTGGGTCCACTTTGGACCAATGAAAGAAACGAGCCCGGTTTTACGAGCCCCATCTCGAGTCAACATTCGACGCAACTTTAAAAAATTGTTCGAACACTTCCGGTGCGCAGGGTCTTCCGAGAGGAAGCAACATTACTGTGCTCGTTCAAAACTTGTACCATCGTACTGAACGCAACACAATTGAAGACTCAATTTTGGACAATTTTTTAGTCGTGGCGTATAATATATGTTTAAAAAAATCTGCATCGTTTGGGGGCCAGTTTGAGCTATTATTAGTTACTAATTTACAAAAATACAAATAAAAACTTAATCACCCAATAACCACTAGTTATATCGCGAGGAAATAGGTACTTTTCAATTAGTGTAATTTTATAAACAGTTTTTTAATGTACTCGGAACTTAATTCCAGAATTTACTCACGGTTTACTAAATTTGTTAAATCGCAAAAATTTTACAGTTTAAAAAATCTGTTATCCAGCAGGTAATTTTCAAGGAACATTTGCGATTTTTCTTTTTTGGTGGGCAATCTGTCGTATTTCCGGTAGAATGGCTACATAATCCGATAATTGGCAAATTTTTAGCCGCGTCCGTATATCGAACATAACGCGATGGTATATTTTTCGCTCAGAGTCACCTGCACAATCTCCTGACACAGTAATGAGACATTTCCTCCTTCAACATCCTGTAGACACTTCGTTAACGAAGTAATGAAATTGAATTAACACGAAAACACTCGGCAGGAAGACAGTTACGCAAGAGGTCGCGAAGGATGTATTGAAGTCTAATGAGGGGTATTGAAGTCTGATGAAGACCGTGTCACCAGTGATCACCAGTTCGGAACACGTGTTTGTTTCATAACGGTATGTATTGCAAACCTGTCTAAACGCCCTGACGGAAGGAAACCCTAAAACGGGACAACGTTAATAACATCACCGTTTGCGAAGAGTTTCGGACCAAAAGGAATTGCAGCTCTTAATCACCTCTCATATTCCTTTGATCCGGTTCCTGGAGTCTTCTTCCTTCTCCCAAAACTGAAACTGAAATTAAAAAGGACAATCTTTTTATTCTGGACCGAACAATTTTTTAAATGTGGGGATTAACCTCTTCAGGGACGATTTTTTATTTTATTTTTGAGGGGTCTCTTTATTATTGACAGTAACTATAATTATAAAAAACAAAAGAACTAAACGTCCACATATGTGGCCAAGGGCGTGAAGAGGTTTTTATTAAACATACAATTTTTCGAAATTAAGATGGGAGAAAAGAAATTGTAAAGGATTAGAAACTATAACGTTTTGCATTTAACTTTTTTTAAATATTTCTTGTAGTTTCAAAGATGTTAAATGTATATAAAATCAGAATTTTGTTGCAAGGGTGAAAACGCTCCTAGAACCGTTTTAGAGCCAAAATGAAAAATAGCAATGCGATTAGGTGTTCACGTGTACTTGATTTGTGCAAAATTTCAGATTTTTTGGAGGATTAAAAACATTCATACCAGAAATTGAATTTTAATTTGAATTAATTCAAAGCTACTAAAAGCTGCAAGAAGTCCACCATTTTGCATTTCAGGTGTTTGTGGCCTCGCACTTCAGGCGGTAATATATGACCTATCGACAAGAAAGGGTTATGGGAGGGACTAGTGGGTTCGTTGAGTTATGCGAGTTGCTTCAACCATGGTTGAAAAAAATTCGAGGAACATTGGTTTAAACGACCCTTTTCAAGTGTCTGAAATGTGTTCTGCGTCGTGTGTCGAGCACGTGGGAACGTAGCTTAATACCGATCTTTGAGTTGTTACTTTGCAATGAAATATCGAACAAACCATAAAAGTTAACCGCTGAACAACCGCGCCAGAAAAACAAGTAAAACCATGTTTAGTGACTAAAGCGATAGAGAAAATGAAACGGGGAATTTAAATTTAAATTTAAATTTAAATTTAAGAATATCTGTCCATCACAAAAAGACAGTATTCATCAACAGGTGATAAATGTCATAAGACAATTTGCAAGAAGATTCATGTCCAATAAATAAATTAAAACTGAATAGGATACAATATTATTTTCAAGCTTCAAAATATATTTTTGTCAAAAGAATCAAAACAAAAATTATCATCAATTTTTTTATGGGAATTAACATAAATATATTATCTGTGGAAAATAAAAATAGTCAAAACGAGGAAAGAAAACTGAATCAAATGAGAAAGAAACATCAATGAGAAAAAAGTAATTTAACAATGAAATATACAATTTAAAAACGTAAAAATGTACAATTCTATATGATATAATGAACAATTAAAAGTACAATTTGCATCCATTATTAATAGTAACTTATTACATTACTACATAGAAATTTATCAAAAATTTGTTCCATGTGTAGAAGGGAATATTGTTGGTTAGAAATGTAGGCACGAGATAGTCGACAAATGGTGCAAGCCGGTCAATGAAGGGGACACGATATTGAATATAATTTTCACTATACTTTTCCTATAAATGTTCAAATACCACTTCAGAACTAATTTAGAAAACTAAAGACTTGAATGAGTGTAAAAAGATGGATCTATTCGTGTATTCAACAAAAACAATTATAATTAACCTTCGCAACCAAAAATAATTTTTCCAGAATTCGAAATTTTTTAATTTCATCAAAAAATTTCTGCACCGACACACTATCGATTTTTCTTTAAAATTCGTTTTTGATTTTTAATAAACACAATCATGGGTAATGTTGTAATACAATTTATTAATAAAAAATAAAATTTTTACGCTTTATTCAACCATTTGGTATTGACGTCACTGTTGAATGCATGCGGCTGTGACTTCTTTGTTTACGCGAAATACAATACGTAACATTTACCGAAGAATAGTCGGGGTAATAATGCCGGAATACCCGTGTGCCGAATAATGGAAACTCTACTGCAGTAAACTTTTTGAAGCATACCAATCGACTAGATTTTATTTAACAAATTTTCAACTTAAATAAATGTAAATAGCAACTATGGTTTGTAATGATCTTAATAAAAATCAAATAAAAAAATTTATTTTATATTACATAATATACAGGGTGTTCGGCCACCCCCGGGGAAAAATTTTAATGAGGGATTCTAGAGGCCAAAACAAGACGAAAATCAAGAATACCAATTTGTTGATGAAGGCTTCGTTAAAAAGTTATTAACAATTAAATTCAAAAATTTCAAATCGTTCTGGAAAAATTATTTTGGGTTGCAGAGGTCAATTACAATCAGTTTTGATCATTAGACATATCCTCAAAATCCTATCCACTTTCGAGAAAAAAATTCGATAAGGTATGAAATTTTTCGACAAAATTAAAAAATTTCAAATCGCTCTGAAAAAATTATTTTCGGTTGCGGGGGTCAATTACAATAATTTTTGGTGAACAGACGTACCCCCGAAATCCTGTGCATTTTCGAGAAAAAAATTCAGTACGTGCGGAATTTTAAACGTTAATAACTTTTTAACAAAGCCTCCATCAACAAATTGGTATTCTTGAATTTCGTCTTATTTTGGCCTCTAGAATTCGCCATTAAAATGTTTCCCACGGGTGATTTAACAAAAAGTAGTAGTAATAATTTATTAATTATAAGTAATCAATGTTCTTGTGCGTTCAATAATGGTAGCGTGTACTTGACAGGATAGGAATAGATATTAAGTTACGCGTAATTCGCGACGATCAAACTGCAAGTAATGGTACCCCAATAAGTGTTGACTCATTCATCGGCGTTGGATTCTCACGCAAGGGGTAAATTGAAACTGAAAACGCAAACAAAAGAGAATGAAAGAAATAAGATGCATGAAAGATAGTTGAGGCCGCTAATGAGCAGAACTACGGTGGAAGCGGTAAGTGGCACTCGCTTGGTACTCGCACGCTGATCGTGTTCGCAACAGTTACGGAATAATTAGGAACGCACGTTGCACCGAGCTGCTCGCACGTGCAAAAGTTTCTCTGATCTTCTATAATTACCGCGTAAGCGCGACTCCTGGATCGATAGTTCGACGTTCGAGTGGGTGTTCGAACTTTCCCCCCTCGAGGTTGCTCGCTTAAATCCGAATAGGATAATTACATATAGAAATAAATACCACTAAAAAGAAAATCACGAAACAATTCGAAAAAGGACAGTCTAGACAATAATATCCCTCTAAGTGCATTGATTGTCAGACTAAAATCTTAAAACTTTGGTTTCAGGCAATTGTAAACTACGTAACTTAAAATTTGTCATCTCAACTGTAGAATTAATTATTTTAGTTCCATAGAGAAACCATAGAGTCACCTATATAGGGTGTTCGGCCACCCCTAGGAAAAATTTTAATGGGAGATTCTAGAGACCAAAATAAGACGAAAACCAAGAATACCAATTTATTGATTAAGGCTTCGTTAAAAAGTTATTAACGTTCTCACTCAGCATGGGAAACCCTACTTAGTAACGTATCGACATTGAATTTTAAACGTTAATAACTTTTTAACGAAGACTCAATCAACAAATTGTTATTCTTGATTTTCGTTTCATTTTGGCCTCTAGAATCTCCCGTTAAAATTTTTCCCAGGAGTGGCCGAACTGTATATGGATCACGTGGCAGTGAAAGTGTTGAATCGAAAAAATAGACGATACCCGTTGCAGCAGAACGATTTCGTCTCAGAAATCGTGCGTAAAGCGTACGTTGAATGAAAATCGACCACAAGGAATACGCAGTTGACGAGTAGCAGAGCACGGGGGATCGATACCGGAGAAACTCGCGCGGTTGAAGAGGGGCGGCTTCCCTCCTCCGTGCCGTGAAGAGCGTGGGGTTCCTAGGGAGCAAGAAGGCCGCGTGCTATGGCAAGAAAAAGAGGATAAAACGGTCCGCGACGAAGAAAAGAAACGGGGGAGTAAGGGGAAAGAAGCCGACCAAGGAACACCAGGAGGCTGTGTCGAAGAAGAGGAAGGGGGCGCCCCGCCAGTTCCCCGAACGTCGACCGCTTCTGACGACGTTAAAATTAAAATCCGGTCGGCTGTGTTCAGCCGTGGACCGAAGCGATTTCACGGAGCCGGCATATAGTTGGCCAGAAGATCCCCGTGTATTCCGAAAAGGGTCCATCTTGGTAGCCGAGGTAACCGAAGCGGCCTGGGGAACCGCTCTAGAATTTTTCGAGTGCCGGGGTTCGCTACTTCCGTTGCCCCACGCTATTATTTCTGTCCTATTTTTTGTCCTATCGTTTAACACGTTGGCTGCCATGTCAGTGGAATTCGAACAACGCGTACTGTCCGCGGGGAACTCGATCGCTCGCCTATGCGAGGTTGGCCATACCAATTCGCGGAAATACATAAATTATCGTCCTGGCTAGATTTCGAATAGTTCTGTAATTTATCTTCGATCGACACTTTCGTTCCGACACGCGCTATTCTAATAAAATTTTGAAGTTGGTCAATGACTGATTGATCATTGGTATATTCTGAGCATTGAATATGCAGGGTGTTCGACCACCTTTGGGAAAAATTTTAATGGGAGATTTTGGAGGTAAAAATAAGACGAATATCAAGAATCTGTTGATTAAGGCTTCGTTAAAAAATTATAGAAACATTTCTGGCCACAAATTATTGTAATTGACCCCTGCAACCGAAAATAATTTTTCCAGAACGATTTGAAATTTTTTAATTTTGTCGAAAAATTTTATATATTCTCTAAATTTTTTTCTCGAAAGTGGGTAGGATTTCGAGGATATGTCTAATGACCAAAACTGATTGTAATTGACTCCTGCAACCGAAAATAATTTTTCCAAAACGATTTGAAATTTTTTAATTTTGTCGAAACATTTCATACCTCCTCGAATTTTTTTCTCGAAAGTAGGTAGGAATTCGAGGATATGTCTAATGACCAAAACTGATTGTAATTGACTCCTGCAACCGAAAATAATTTTTCCAAAACGATTTGAAATTTTTTAATTTTGTCGAAACATTTCATACCTCCTCGAATTTTTTTCTCGAAAGTGGGTAGGAATTCGGGGATATGTCTAATGACCAAAACTGATTATAATTGACCCCCGCAAT